CTAGCAGGCCAAATGAAGACTGCGAGAAACGCGTGAAATCTTGTCTCTGCGATTCTTTTGAAATACGATGTGATCTATATCCTCACATTCTAATAGTAAGCATGGATTACCATTAAGTCATTCAATGAGTTAATGAATTATTTCTCAATATAATACTAAGCATTGAGCGAGGTCATAGGGGGAAAAGATGAACAGAAGATAATTTCTGCCATTATGAGAATAACAGATGAAAGGGGCATGTGATGACTAACAGCCATACATCTACTAAGTCCTAGGAAGGAGCTGCAGAAGTTAATTATGACTTTTCTTAGGGAGTTAGATGAGATTTCACAAGTGGGTTTGTCAAGCAGAGAAGGAATGAGGAAAACTTCTAAGCAATGGGAATTAGTATATTATTATAATCACTAGCACTAACCCTATTATTTCTTTTGTTGGCATGGCTACTTTCTTATCACAGACAAGGACCAGAGTTAATGAGAATGGCATTGATCTGTATTAGACATACGCATTTCACGAGTGGTGTGGGGAATGTTTTCACACTGGCTTTCACGTATTACATACACCCACATATGAACATGCACATGTGCGTGCACTCATACATACTAACTGAACATCTTTCTTTGCTGTATAGCACACAGTTTTGAGAGTCTTTCTGCAGACAATGGTCCTTACAAGTTTCGATCAGAAAAATCACGGCTCTTTCAAGCTATGATTTCAGCGTCATCACCATGAGACGCTGCTTGCTTCTTGTGTTGACTTAAATCTGCGTAGCACTGAGTGCTGATGGTTTTACTTGAGGTGTTTGGATATATTTGTGTTTGTGCTGAGGAAAGCATCTTTCTGAACTGTGACAGCAAACTGTGAATTCTGCTAGGAAATGGGTCTTCAGAATACTGGCAAGGTTCTCATGTGTGCTGGTGTCTCTGCTTCAATATCTTTGGGGTCTGTCTTGTGGAACACATATGCTCATCTTAATTGATTGCACATTAATACAAATGATAACAAGCTAACAGTTGCAACACTTTTTTTCCATTAAAAGTGCTAGTATGATAAAAACAGACTGAGTTAAACGTCTGTTCTGTTGGATTTGTCTTAGTTAACTGAAGATCAAGAAATAGTTTTGTTTCTTTCAAAAGGAGAGAGTTTCCCTGTGATTCTAGCTTTCGGGGCTGTGGAGGAAGAGGGATTCTGACTTGGAGGCTGCATGCTAAGACGTTGTCTCCAAAATACTCAAAAGAGAGAGAGAGACAGACCGACAGACAGACTGAGAGACTGAGAGAGACAGAGAGACAGAGAAACAGACACACAGAGAGACACACACACACAAACAGACAGAGAGAGACAGAGGTAGAAGGAGGAGGAGGAAGAAGGAGGAGGAAAAAGGAGGAGGAGAAAATGGAGGAAGAGGAAGAGAAAGAAGGAAGAGAAGGAAGAGGAGGAGAAAGATGAAGGAGAAGGAGGAGGAGGAGGAGGAGGAGGTGGAGGGTATTGGTCTAGTTAAACTGAGAGCAAAGTAAATCTCAGTGATTTTTTGCCATTCCCACTTTTTACTGCATAACCTCCTCCCACAGTCATGTTGTCTTTGAAGCAACCTATGTGGCTTTTCCTTGGTTATTATATACTCATTTCCTTGGTTATTATATACTCACGTATCTACTTATAGATGAATGCAAAAGGTGGTTTGGGCTCGTGTTTGTACTCATGGCGTGGCACCCTCTTTCCCGCTAGCTGTATGTTCTAGAATAGTAGCTGGGCATTGGCACAGTGAGGAGTGTAGCTCATCTCGAGCTGAACTTGAAAACCTGAATCATGGGAGGCAATTGGTCTAAGAAGGAAGAAAACATGTCCATTTCAGTGTATGACCGTAGTGTGGTTCTATTCCCAGTGCCGGCCTCAAAAGGAATGACTCGAGGGATGACTCATCAGCACTTGATGCATGGCAAGTATGCCTGGTCTCATTCTGAAGAGAGGCGCTCACTAGAGCAGCAACCCTGGCCATGTCCTTATCAGGAAATCCCAGGAGAGAGGGGACAGGAAACGGGAATAGTAGAGCCAATGGGAGAATGGTCAGTCATTTGAGTTCTTCGACTGGTGAAAACTGAATGAAGTGCTAATCACCCTGGCGCTTGATTTTCTTTTTCAGAGCTTTGCTTTCGGTAATCTTATTTTCTTTGAATATAGGGTTACCTATCCTAAATAATTATTCAGAGAATTCTTTTAGTTTGACTTCAGAGTTGAAGGACGCAGGACAAGGGAGTAGGGCTCAGTATTTGTTCTTGGAGCTGGAGGTAGAAGTGGCACCCGCCACGCAGCCTCACCCTAGATAATCTTCAGTTTTTAAGGTTAAGATTCCCACCACACTGGTGGTCTGGTTTTAGAAGCACGAGGATAATTTTGATGCTGGAGGCTCACATTTGCAGTCCTAACACCTCAGGAGCCTGAGACCTGAGGACTGAGGTTCGGACTCCACTTGAGCAGACGAAGCCTGGACACTCTTATCCCCAGTTAACCAGCCCAAACCCGGAAGTGGAGACACGACTCGAGTGGCAGGATGGCGACGCTGGTTGGCGATCCTACTATCCTTCCCCATTTTGTCATCTTCTGGCTTTATTCCAGCGACTGTCCCACGCCTCTTATCTTGCTGTGTTTCTGAAAACGTTGGCTTATTTCCAGCCATTCATCTTCATATTTACTTTGAGAGTGGAAGTCGTGCTACAATAACTTGCTTATTGTCCTAACACGCTATGTGCCAGTCCACATGTGTGTCAACTCCTATCCACTGCGGTTTTCCTCAATCCGAGGCGAGTGCTGCTACTTGTGATCTGAATGCTATCCCATCCTCTCCAGGACCTTGCTTCTGCAGTAGTTCTTCCTGTTCTTCCTACCAGATTGTCTCTTCCACAGGCATTTTAACTATGTATGAATAAGCATGAATGTTTTCTATTCCAAACAAAAACACATGGACACACTTCTTCCTCAAGCTAAAGTAATATTTCTCTGATAGTGGTTCTAGATTCACAGTTATTTGCCATTGTTATTTCTCATCACACATTCTCTCCTTGAACACACATGAACGACCCTTTCAGTCACAACTCTGCCCTATTTTCTTGAATTTTTAGAGGCAGTCAAGACAGTTAATCATCCTCCCTTCTTAAAAGTAACTGTGCAATGGGTACATCATCTATTTCTTCCTAGCAGTTTATTGTTGCTCAGGAGTGTATGGGTCTTTGGGGTTCATAGGAACTCCTATTTACTGCCATGGTTGCATGCCTCGCCCTAGATAAGCTGGCTTTGCTGCCCTAGCCCGGGCTCTTCCATGCTCTGATTGGCTGTACTGAGTGGGGCTATTACAAAGGTGGCATCTTTGCCTCCTCTGACCAGCAGTATTCTGCTACCTCTGTCTATCTATGAAGTATAGAATTGATGGCAACTTTTGGCTATGGGTATGTGTGTGTATGTGCTATTACAGAGAAAAATGCATTGTCTTTATCTAGAGTTCTGTAAATTGTTACCATTTTGTTTTTATATGCAGTGCAAATGTGTAAGAACTTCATGGAGTCATTTCATTTTGAAGTGATTGTGCAAAAGATCTGAACAGAGGTAGAAGAGAACACGCACACACACACAATCAGTTTCTGGGTGACAGAGAAAGTTCTCACAGGTAGGTGAGTTATCTTTGAATTACAGTAATACATTCTCTCAGATGTAAATAAAGTAAAACCTGACAGCTTTAGCATCTATGAGAATCTGAGAGTTCTGGGAAGATGACTCATTCATTTACACAAAGACCCAGTCTGCCAACACCCCGTTCTCATTCTTCCCCTCCAGTCCTGCAGCAGCTTTCAGTGTTTCTAGACTGCTCAGAGCCCCGGCCCCTTCAGTAACCCCGAGTATTGTACAGACTCAGGAACTTACTAACCAGGGGATTTCAGGCAAGATATTTAAAACTTTCACATCCAGAAAACGGACATTTAGTTTTCAAGAGACAAAAGCCATGAAGCTAAATCTGCTGGTGTGTGGCAAATGACACGGCTCTGCTTTGCAGAATGCTGTTTTCACAAGATAACTTTTCAAACAGGCAGTTTTCTTGATGGTGTTAGATACCTCAGCTCTGCAGGAGGGAGCAACAGAATTCTCTAAATCTGGTCCAAGCAGGGCTCCTCCTCATTTCTCATTTTAGGGAGAATACCTACTCTCCTCAAAAGTAAAACAAAACCAAAAATAAAGCAAAGAAAAAGGAGTAAATTAAAATGGAGAGGCAGTGCACCAGAAGCTTCTTTCTGTTCATTATCTGAGGAGCCAGCTATCTGTCTTGTAATGGAGAAACCAAACATATAAGACAAAGAAATTTACTTGGTTTATTTGTTCAAAAATTTGGCAAAGTTAAGAAGGCAAGTGGAATTCCAATTTGCTTCTACTGACATAATGTGAATAGAATTGGATTTGTTGTTGTTGTTGTTATTGAACTCTGAGCCTGGGCGCTGTCCCTAAGCTTTTCAGCTCAAGTCTAGAGCTCTACCACTTGAGCCACATGCCACTTCCAGCTTTTTATGTGGTGCTGAGCAGTCGAACCCAGGGCCTCATGCATGCATGACAAGCATTCTACCACTGAGCCACCTTCCCAGCCCCATAGCTACTTCTGATCTATGAAAATCTTAAACTTTTGTTTTGATTGAAATTAAATTTGTCTTCATTTATTATTCTATTATTTAAACACCAAAGGTTTTAAAAATTTTTTGTTTTATTGTTTGTACTGGCCCTGGGGCTTGAACTCTGCGTCTGAGCGCTGTCTTTCAGCTTTTGTGCTCAAGACTTAGTGAGCTGCAGAAGGAAGAGAAGAAAAGAAAGAAGAGAAAGAAAGACAGGGGAGGGAGAAAAGGAAGGAAAGGGGAAAGAAAGAGAAGGAAAGGGGAACAAAGAAAGGGAAGGAAAGATAAGGGAAAAGAAGGAAGGTAATAGAAGAGATAAGGAAGAGAAGGAAAGGAGATAAGAGGAAGGGAAGGTGAAAGAGAAGACCATGGAGCTGACATTGATGTCGCATCTCCAGGTTGAAGCCCCACGCTGTCATTCTTCCCTGAGCAAAGCAAGGTAAGGTCCTTAGACTGGTTTTTGTTTGTGGTGAAAACACAAATACTTCCTCCACCACTGGATGGAACCAGCTGATGCATAGCTCACTGCACTTTGAACTGTCCATGCACCTGGCCTCTTAGTACTTCAGTTAACCCAGAGAGACTGAGCTAGTGATGTACTAATTTGGTGTACCTGGGAGTTCACTCCTTTATCAACATAAAACTTAGTGAAGTATTATGCTGTCAGGTTTTTTTATTGCTTTCTTTGAAAAGTGCACTCTTAAGAGAATATAATCCGGTTGGTTGGAGTTAGGCAAATGGAATAATTGTGAGCTACATTTCCTTTAAGAGGATTATATGACCTATCATGACTACCTGTCTTTCCCTCACTTTTTCCCTGTCTCTTCTCTCTCCTCTTTATGCAGTTTTAAATTTGTTTTGTTTTTTAAACAGCAGTGATATCTTATGGTGTCGTCATTGATTTATGAATTAAATAAAATCATTGACCTGTTTAGTTGACATGTATATAGGGAACATACTTAAGTCCTTCAGAATTGTAGTTTACCAACCACACTTACGAGCACATAGTCTAAACAGATAAAAAGAAATTGAAAAAGAAAGCGTCTTTAACTGGCTGTCCTGCATGGTTTTTAAATGTATGATAAAATGCTATGATGTATTCTTGACTTGCTTCAGATTAAATGACAAGGTCATAACTATTACCATGAAAGATTCCATCATTTTATTCATGTATTATCTCAGTTCCCTGGTGTGAATTATGTCACAAGGAAGTTTGCAGCTATCTGGGTAATCCCAGATTATATCTCCAGTTGTTTCTAACACAGGAATGGAGCTCTGATAAGCAGAAAGTACCCATACACCATGGATCACACACTGTAGTGTGACTTTAGCTGGTGGCTTTGAGTCTGTAGTTCACATGGACTTCTGGTTTCATGTCGCACACCGCGCTGAGAAGCTGCTTCATCACACTTTCCATACACTGGTTGTAGCTTCTGTTCAGTTCCTGTATATTCCCTTGTGTTTGCTCTTCTATTTCACTGGCAAGGTCACCCTGAGAGCCCATTATCTGCAAAAACAACAAGAATGAAATGCATTGTCCTGTACTCATGTTAAACCGTGTGGTTTTATAATCTATCCATTGGTGATTGTTCTGTGGTGTAGATATTATGCACTTTTCTTTTAATGAGAAGGAAAGCTCTGTTGTCCTTTCAGAGAGCAGAAAGGATCACCAAGTGCATGCGTGTGCTCTTATGGGACATATACGCTATCACCCCTTCTGAGAATCTCGTGATGCAGATCACTTGCCAGTTTGCAATCATCCTACCATTTTTCTAACATTATGTTTTTCGTGGGTTTAAAGCAATTTCTGCTTTCTCTCTGTATCTTTCAAATTATTTACTTTTAGAGTTCAAAGTCTGGAAAATAAAGTGAGAAGATACCGTTGGATCCACATTTACTGCGTGTAAGGAGATGTCACCAGCTTTTCAGTCATTGGTCTATATTATGAACTCATTTCTTCTTCAGGAAGAGGCAGCCATAATGTGCTGGCTGGAGTAATTTTCATGCCTAATTATTTAAGTGATGTATACGCACACTTATACAGTGGTTACAATCTTGGGAATTTTAATATATATTGATCGATGTAGTGTAAATCTCCCCAGGAATGTTCACAACTTAAATGACTTCTGCAGAGAAACACTTCAAAATCATCACTTCCTAATTCATCTCCTCTGTAAACTCAGCCTTTCTTAAACATGAATTCATAAAGGTTTCATTTGTTTCTTTCTTCTGTGTTTGGGCAAGATATGCCACCGAGGTAATCTAACAAACTCCACTAATGATTGACTTCTATGTCAGGGCTGTCAGACCGTTAGAGCTTCTAGAATCTGATAATCTCTCTGGTCCCTAAGGCTGACATCCAGTGCAAGTCCACACTGAGAGGATGTGGGTGTAGGCCCTGTTCTGTTTGCCATCTGAGCAACAGAAGCACTTCAGTGCAGAAAAAAAAAATATTTTTGAGAAGATGCAGCTTCTAAAACACCAAATAACTTTTACAAAATAGCATTTTGTCAAGTGAATCTCCAAGAAGCGGGTATCTATGGACCAATTTCCCCTTATTAACTAGTTTAGGAGGAAACTGCTCACAGCATCAGTGTGCCATAAATCTAAATCTTTTTTCTTCTAACTTTGGTGTCTTGAGTGGGATTCTAGCATGCTGAAAAAAATTTCCTCTAAATTCAAAGTCTTAAATGGTAAAATACTAAGAGTCCAAAACTGTGGTGAAATTGTGGCCTTGGCTCAGTAGATATTTGCTGAACCAAAATCTCTACGTATTTCAAAGACCTCAGTATCTGAATTCTACTGTTCACATTAGGAGACACCTGTTGACCAAACATTTGGGAATCTATATAATATGATAATTGATAACTCTGGAACATGTCTTTAAACATTTTTGTCTAAGGTGTCATTTAAGGGCTTCTGTGTTAATGATCAGAAGTTCAGTGTTGAGGCTGACTTGTAGCCCTACAATCTAGTGCCTAATCATGATTGCAGGGTCATCCGACAACTTTCCTTAGAAGTTGTTTCGGTGTTCCAATGTAGGGAAGATCAGGGCTGCATCTCTCACTCCTACAAGCCAAACAGTTTTGGACTCTCGAATTTTGATTGCTTCAAAGACATGATATAGATTCGGTAGCAAAAATATAATGAGTCTTCATTGTGTCCAGGGAAACCATTATCAATTCTTTCCACTGGATGCACGGTGCATCTGACTTTGACTTGTATTCACAAAAGTTGTGCACAACCTTCCGCAGGCCAGATTTCTTTCTAGTAAGAAGATGATCCTATATTGGGTAGCTATGATAACTGAGGAATATATACAACTTTGAGAAGAAATATTAGTTGATGTCTAATCTTAATTGGGATACTTGCTTCTGATGATAAGTTAGGAAACTTGAACATATATTACGAATAGCTACAAAGCAACCACAACATAGAAAGACACAAAATTGGCTTCCTGGGTCTCCTCACAGGCCTCCTAATTGCTCTAGGTTAATGATGACAAGACTAAACGGCACAGTGAAAACGCCTGACATATGGCGGGCATGCCAAGGAGAGAAAATCTGTTCTAATGGTTTTACAATATGCTGGAAGTAGCAGAGGCATAAACGCCATGACTTTTCTATGTGAGCTTTGGATCAACTAGCTGTAAAATTGTCTGAGAATTGAATTATGAGAGGGATGAAGGTTTTTAATTATTATCTAGAACAGAATACATCTTGAACCAGATTTCCATCTGATAGTATCCTTCTGGAGAAATATTATTTTAAGAGTTTGAACTCAAATAATATTTTAAGAGGTTTAACTCAACAGAAATTATGGTCAGTTATTTTATGACTTGAAAATAGAAATAGCTGTTATATCAGAGACATCCACGTGAGATCATCAGTGCTGGCTGTGAATGGCAGGAGGCGGTGTAAAAGATGTCCACATACAAATGTTTACCCATCCCCATTAATGCTTACTATGGGGCAGGCGTTAGTTTAAGAAAATGATGGAGGGGAAAAAAAAACCCTTAAAGATTCTGGGTATTTTGGTTGTTTATCATGTGGAAGGAGAGAGCTAGAAGGGAAAAATGTAATTATGTGTTAGATAGGAAAAAGTGCATAGGAGAGAAACAGTGGTTTACCACTCTGCTTTTAAATGAAAGGCAGTTTGAGAAACTGAGGATTGAATACAGAGCAAGGGAATACAAATGTGTAAAAGAGAAGAGGCTGAGCAAGCCAAGGGCCTGTGGCATGGGTGTGTTGCATCTGAGGAAGAAAAGTAGTGTGAAAACAAGGAAAGGAGAGAAGGATGAAAGGCACAGCAGGGAGCCACAGAGCATGCATTGGGATTGCAGCGCTTCTTTTTCCAGACATGGATAAGAAGAATTTGTTTTTATTAACTGATCACTTTATCTGAAAGAGACTATTTTTTTAAATTAATTTGTTTAAAGAAAGCCTCCTAGAAAAGTATTTTCTACATTTTGGTCCGATTTACGTGAACCTGTCTGCCTGAATACCTTGTGTATTACCATTAAAATAACACACAAGTTGTAAAATAAAGCGTTTTTTTTCACACTCCCGTCATTTGTATTTCAGTGTCAGGCTCCTGGATAGAGCCATATTTATATTTGTGATGGAGTAAAATTGCATTGATTTTAGTTATGACACACAGATTTTGATTATTTCTACTTCTTAGTCACATTGAAACAGGGGACTGAGCGTGTTGTCACTGAAAACGTCATGCATTTTTTTATTGTACATGACAAATATTTAAGAAATGAAGGCACAGGAAAAAAGTGCCTCTTTATATTTGAACCAGACTTACTGAATGGAGGCAGCTAGTGCAGAGGAAATCATCAGGAAATACCAAAAGGTCTATCGGTTTCATTTTATTTATTTATTTTTTACTAGCTGTCAACAATCTCTGTCTTGAGATTTGTGTTTCTACATCCAGAAACTTGGCCTACCAAGTGCATTCTCTATCTTAGCTTGAGCATGGTTTACTGCTTCTACCAGTAAACATTAATAAACAAATATTCTTTGAAGGTTTGCTTCCTCTCAGTCACCAGTCAGTGTCAGGAATGGTTGTTTAACTGATTCTTACAACTTCTGTATCAGAGTATAGGATTTTTAAAAGTACATATTATTATATATTAGACACCAACTCTTGGTTGACCTTTTTTTTGCTAGTCCTATACTATATGTATGCATATGGTGCAGTTTATGCTGCATAACAAATAACGTTGGCCTTCTTGCCTACCTTAGACTGTTTCAATCGAAATTGCTCATCTCTCTGCATTTTATACTGGTCAGTTTCTGCCATTGCCTCTTCCTTAGCTTGCTTCAATCTTTTCACTTTTCCTGAAAATTAACAATGACAGAGAAAGAATAATATTTTTTCATTAATAATACATGGAATTGCAGACTTGGCCTTTTTTCAAAAAAACACAGGTGAGTTTTCCATTTTTTGAAAATTTTTTCCCAGAATGTCAAACTTCATTAAAACAAAATAGCAGTATTGAAAATGTTCTTCCTTTTTTTTTCCCTACTGGGTTCTTCAGAACATGTAGATGACAACTTTCTTCCACACTTTGCATATTTAGATGAGATGCCCATGCATTTCTTCACAGCAGCAACAACCAGGGGACAGATTTTAGCTGTCACTTACCCAAAAGAAAGACATTATGTGGTCAGATTTTCTGTCCTGATCTGGTGCCAGGAGCCTTTCAATCCACACCAACTGGGTTCCATTTAACACTGGCTCATCTCCAGAACTGCTACAGACACACAGCTCAGACTCTATCAGAATGACTTACAATTTTAAAAAACATTTTATTGGGATTTTTTCCTTACCATTTGTTACTCTAGGATATCTGATTAAGCTTTATAACACGACGAAGTAGACAAAGTAGAGGTCTTTTTTTTTTTTTGTACTTGCTTTCTCTGAGGGGGGAACTTGAAAGTGGCTGTAAAACCAACTGGTTTTAATGGTTAGGTGATTTAGTTTAAGTTCTTTTTATTAAGAGCAGAGGTGTAAGGCTTAAGCCAGCGGACAACAAGGTAAAAGAAAATTTGAAAAAAACTCCACACAATACTTTGTTCATGACTTGTTTTTTGATAACCAGAATAAATCTGAGAGGTTATAGATTGATATTAATTGTTTCTCTGCCTCCACTTTTGCATCCTGGAAGACAGGGTCCAATGCTTTGTAATAATTAAAACTTGAAAGAAACTCTGAACTGTATCCTAATTCTTCTTTCTCTTAATCTAGTGACCTTCAATTTCAGCATGAACATAAACATAATATATGTTATCTATAAATATGTAATAATTGATGTCTTATTCTTTTGCCCATTGTTTATTTTCTCTAATAAGGTGTCAAGTGTTTGCTTATACTGTTTAACTAATTGTTACATTAAGTGGAATTTGAATTAGGTAAGTGGTCCCCATTAAGCAGCATTAAGAACAATCAATGTAAACTTTTTATCAATCATTTGTCTATAGATTGATATGATGTAATATAAACTTTTATCTGTCATCTGTCTATATATTGATGTGCCTTTGTAGTGTCTGAGTGTGGATTCTTTCGGAATTTCTATTCCTGTGTGGAATTGGTTGCTTGAAAGGTCATCAAATATGTATTTAGAAAAAAAGACACTGAGTTCCCAAATGAAGCCTGTTTCTTCATGCCTGTCACCCTTAAGCTGGGTACGCCTTCCTCAGAATAGATGACGGGCTGCCTCCATTCTGAAATCTAAGGTGGGCTGGAGGCTGAGTCGGACATGAAAGCAACTTTATCTTTTTCCCCTCTAGCTAATGCTTACTACTGTTGTGTAAACTTGGATTCCTTCATTCTCTGCAGCCCTGGCTACTCTGGCCGCAGACACATTGTATTGGCAGAACTTCTCTGTGGCTAGAACACAGAGATGAAATGTCCTCTGTCATTCCCAGTCCCACTGTCTTAAACTCAGGGCCTGCTCCTTTTGCTGGGCTTTTTTACCCAAGGCTGACACTGTACCACTTGGACCATACTTCTCACATTTTGCTGATTAATTGGAGAGAAGAGTCTCACAGACTTTGCTTGCCTAGGCTGGCTTTGAACTGGGATCCTCAGATCTCAGCCTCCTGAGTAGCTAGGATTAACAGACGTGAGCCACCGGCGCCCAGCCCACTCTCAAACCACGGCTAATCATTAACAACAAGACATAATTATAAAATGTTCAGAATTTCCACTTCCCTAGTCATAATGAGTTGCACTATACATGATTATTCTATAAAGTAAATCACACAAAACATCATTATACTCCTTCTTAATTGCATGGTATGTTAAAAAAAATACTAGTTTCAAAGTCAGGAATCTTTACCACATAAAACCACCAATAAAAGGAAAAAAAGCCCGTGTCCCCTACCCCTGAGCAGAATCCCCGAGGCTGTCTATTAGCTCCACCACCCAGTGACAGGCTCTGAATGTGTCTGTGAGCCCCTGTGCCTGCCACCAGTCACCTGCTGGTTCTCATTCAATTAACCAGGCAAGCCACAGGGAAAGCGCTGCTGGCCTAGCAATTTTCTGGACAGACTCCGTGGCTGCCGCTGCGTGAGAGCCTGAGTAGGCTGCATCGGATTGCTTCCAGGGGAAGAAACGAAGCCTAAAGCTTACTGTTGGGTCAGAGGATGCGCAAAAACGTGTGTCAGATCTACTCATTTTAACCTCCAGCTTGCTCCCCTCTCTCTGTCGACAGATGGACAACCTTGAAATCCTATCCTATAACCACCAACCCCCCCCCAAAAAAAACCAAAAACCAAACCCTTAATTGCTGTCCTCCAAAAGGGCTTCATATCTTTGTTTATAGTTTGTATAAAACAAGAGTTCAAGTGTTTTATACAACAACTGAATGGATAGTTACAGAATTCCCTCAATGACAGCCAGGCTTGCCAGGCAAATGTCCTGACCTGTGGCTTTGGAAACATGTTCATCTCATGATGATCTTAAATCATGCAGTAAAAGAGACTATGAAGCTGAGCACTGGTGGCTCATGCCTATAATCCTGCCTACTCTGGAGGCTGAGAGCTGAGAATTGCCTTTCAAAGCCAGTTTGGCAGGGAAGTCTGTTAGACTCTTATCTCTGATAAACCACCAAAAAAGAGCTGGAAATAGAGCTGTGCCTCAAATGGTAGAATGCCCGCCTTTATGAAAAAGTTAAGGGACAGTGCTCAGAGCTTAGTTCAAGTCCTAGTACTAGCAAAACAGAAACACTAGAAAGCATTCCTACTCTCTAGATAGCTAATATGTCAGCTAATTACTCATGCAAATCAACCGTGGAATTTGTGCTAGTGTATAGATACCAACCATCAATAATTTTCGAGTCAGAAAATCACACATCTTTATTTCTAAATCTACACATACTCAGAGTTATAAGCATCTTGACTTAATAAATTCTCCCTGTAAGCGGACGTTCGGTTTCATGAAGATATGACTTTTAATGAACTAATAAGAGTTGTTATATTAGGATTTAATGCCCCTGTCTTATAGGTTGTGTAGACGTAACTACTTCCTCTTTCTTTATAGTCCACAGTCTCACTGGGTGTTTATAAGTCGACTGGCCTTCAGTTCTTTGTGTCAGTAGTATTGACATAATATTCTTGTCTACTGCTGGTATTTGCTAGTATTTAAACCAACATCTAGACAAATCTGTTACCATTTTTAAAAGGAAAATACAAATAGAGGAAAAGGACATGAAAAATCACACCAATGTGTTTTTCTATTCTGCTGCTTCATGCCCTGACTCTCTGTGCGCAGCCCTGCCCACCTTCCATGTCAGGCACAGGAGGCCCGAGAACAGAGCAGGGGTCCATGGAAGCCCTTTCCCTGGCTTTTGACTGTTGGGAGAATTCCACATACCTCAGGTCCTCAGTCTCCTGTTTCTAGCCCTTAGGACGTCTCTCCTGGATCGGGTTCCAGCTCTGCTGGGATCTCAAGCAATGCTCTTTCGGGGACGGTGTCAATAGTTTTGTAACCCAGCATACAAATCCTGCTACCATATTCTGAAATTCTTCTACAACAGTTACCAAGGTTGAATCACTAGGATTCTCTCTAGCCACTTTTCTTTCTGCTTAGTAAACAACAACAACAAAAGCCAAAATAAAAATTAACCATGCACTCTCCAGGCCTACTGAAGCAGACATCTGAGATTCTGACTTTGATATAAATGGAGTTAAGAAAGAAAGTGAAGCCGGGTGCCATGGCTCATGCCTGTAATCCTAGCTACTCAGGAAGCTGAGATCTGAGGATTGTGGTTCAAAGCCAGCCCAGGCAGGAACAGCTATAAGACTCTTATCTCCAATAAATTAGCAGAAAACTGGGAGTGGTGCTGTGGCTCAAGTGGTAGAGCGCTAGCCTTGAGCTGAAGAGCTTATGGACAGTGCCCAGGCCCAGAGTTCAAGCCATACAACTGACAAAAAAATGAAAGTTCTTCCATACTGTGTTCTTATCGATCTGTATTCTGCCTTGATACATATATACATATATGTGAGATATATCTATACCTATATATAATATATATCAAATGTATGACTTTAAAATGAATCTTTAAGTGTAAATTGAAACTGTTTTTCTGTGACAGTCCTGGAGCTTGAACTTGAGCATTTGTGCTCAAGGTTAGCACTCTACCACATAATCCATGGCTCTCCTCCTGGCTTTTTGATGTGTAATTGGATCTGAATCTCACAGGCTTTCCTGACTGGGCTGTCTTTGAACCGTGGTCCTCATAGCTCAGCCTCTTGAGATCTGTTAGGATCACAGGTGTAAGCCAGCAGTGGCTGGCAAAAAGTAATCTTTTTATAGATACATAAAGATGATTCACTTACTCCTCTGATATAAGAATTTCTTTTTTTAATAGATGACTCAGGAAGGGCTTAGGTCTACTCATGGTGAACACCAACATGTCTCAATTAGTAGGTACCATGTAAGTTCTGAATGAATGAGAAGAACTTCTGAATATGAAGGCAGCTACAACCGATCATGGATCTAGTAATTCTGTGTCATCGCAGAATGCTGAAATAGAATGAGTGCTGTAACATAGTTGTCTAAACTTCTCCTTACTGGTAACTAGGAGCCGCAATTTGCATTTAGTAAATATTGTCCTAAAGTCTGTGCTTTAAGACACTGAGGTTTTTCTGTCAAGCTGTGTGTAGGGGATAGTTGTGGAAAGTCAAAATATTTTCTAAAATATTCTAAAACCGCGGGCTATTTGTGATTGGTGGGTGAACTTTCTGTTTGAATATTCCTGAACCAAGATATACTATGAAAAAAAGGACACACACATACACACCTTAAGTTACTGACAAATAAACATTTTCTGTACAAGTGATACAAGGTGTACTTTTCAACAGTGATTGATGTCTTGGGTTGTCAACACAAGACAGCTTAGTCAGAGACAAAGATCATCTGGAAGTTGCATTCATTATGGAGTTGACCCATTGCTTAACTCTCTCGCTGGATGCAGAGCACAGCTGTGTCCGCACGAAGGCAGCTCCTGTCTCCTAAAGCTTTAAGGCCATGATCTGACCACTTAGCCCTTGGCCTCTCTGACAGCTCAGGACAGTCCATCTCCTCCGCAGCTCACGGGGGGGGGGGGGGTGAAGACCGGCCCCAGCCCTCACAGGGAGTGTGGTTAACACCAGAGTTGAACCTCGGGCTTGTGGGACCTGGAGGACCATGGAGGTCTTGCGCATCTCGCTCCCCTGCCCCTTCGTCACAACCCCACGGGGGGCACTTACTCTTCTTGGCGTCCTCTAGCTTGTCCTTGGCCCTTCTGTCTGCTTGAAGGAGCGGTTGGATCCCCTGACACTGGCTGGCCATGGTGCGTCGTGCCGAGTCCGTCGTTCCTGTGCAGTCTGGGAAGTGGAGGATTCCACTCATCCCCTCCAGCACTCTCCTTGTTGTGCAAACAGTGAACACAGAGCAGTTTGTTCCGAACTGGCCTGGTCAGGTCACACGGTTGGGCTCCAAGGTGGAACCCAGAAAAACAAGTTTAGTTGAAAAACGAGGAAGTTGAGTCCTTTCTGTTTCTGCCCCTGTTAGCTCTTATGTTCAAAATGAGATGATCTGAAAGGATGGTTAGATCTACTGGCAAAAACATGAATCAGAGACTTGTTAGAATATTGTTTTCCTTCACCATCCAAGAAATACTGACTTGCTTATTGAATTTATCTCTCTCATCTCAAGATTTTTTGGTTCTATCTTTATCCATGCAGGATTTGTTGCAAGTGTGTGTTTCCAGTGATTCACTTATTTTCGTGGGACAAATTTATTAAGATTTTACTAAAAAGGTGATTTCCTAGTTTAGTGCATAGAAGATGGACGAGCCCTCTCTCTTTCCAAGTTGTCAAGTAATGTGAATAAAAAGATTGTGTGTGGGTCTTTAGTTGCTCTCTTACAATGCTTTGTTGAAGTTCCGAGGAGACAGTACAGTAACTAAATAATAAAGGATGTCATAACTTCAGGTTATGGGGTTGTGTAGGTTATTGATTATTATTATATAAATAAGTTACTTCTTCTGAATTATCTTTTTTTTTACAATAGAAGCCAATTTTTGATGTGATCTTTCACATATAAAAAGCAGCTTTTTTCAAGGATAGTAATAATTTTAAAGAGTACTCTTTACTTATAACCGAGGTTTTGTGGGTGTTCTTTAAATGGTTTTTATTATCAAGTAATTAGTGAACAACTATTTCTTCTTCTATTCACTAAGAAAGTAACCAGTGGTGTACCAAAACCTGGGTATGCTACTTTGTGAGTTAAATGTGTATTTCTATAATTGTTTGATCTCAGAATTCTCACCACACATCTCTTTTGAAGGTACCTTTGTACCAGTATACCAAGAAGATACATGCATCACCCTGATTTACCAGTAAAATAACTACAATTCTTATGAAGTGAGGACAAAGTGGTAGTGGTCAGAAATCTATGTCATGGAAAACCTGAGTAACAGGCCCAAAGTCAAGTGTCTCCTGAACAGAAGAACTGAACTCAACTCACAGCCAATGATTGTATGGCCATCCCCTGCTCCCTTCTTCCCAGAAACCATTTTCTTCTGTACTTTGGGTTCTCCATGAGAAAAGAAAAAGTATGAAAACCAAGATTATCAATTGATATTTTACTCCCAAAGATTATCAGTTGAAATTTCACTTTGTACAAAAGTGCTAGCATTATAGATCCGTGAAAATGCTATCTTCTTGTGTTCCATAGCTTCCTATCACTGTGACAAATACCTGATAAAGAGCAGCCTAGGATCAGTTGACCCTCTTGCTTTGGTATTTGATGGCGAATCGTGACAAGATCACCTAAGAATTTGTGGTCAATCCCAACTGCTTTCCTTATGGCTATGATGGGAAAAAAGGGAGCAGAGGCCAGCCAGCCCTGTGTAGGCCACACTCCTGGGACCTAAACCTCTTCCTCACCCCACCACCATGTTATGGTTCTGTCTGTCGCCTCTCAGTAACACCCAAGCAGAGACCCAGATTGCCTTGAATACTGGCCATTCCTCCTGGGGAAGAATCATTTTAAGCACTTTGAATACTTTCCAGCCTATTTATTTGGAATCACTGGTTCTTGTTCTTACTACTTAATCTTTTTCTGTTACACCTGGAAATTAAACTAAATAATTAGCTTCTTTCATCGAAGGCAAAGTTGATATGGATGATTTCTATGTGCTTAGTTCTAAAACAGTACAAGTTACTGATGTTATTACTTGTTGCTTATTATTAGTGTTTATTATGCTTACTGGATAATGTTTTCATTTTTCTAAATGATAAATTGAGTATTTAACTATACAATTTCATTAAAATTCATGGAGTAGTAGATTTTTTTTCAAACAAGAATTTTGCATAAAGTGTAAGAACCAGAACAGTATATATTTAGATCTCTCTTTTTTATTCTTTTTCCTATTTTTTTTCTTTTCTTAAAAATTTAATTTTATGATCAAGGTTGTCACATACAGAGGGTTTGGTATGGGTCTTGGGACTTGAACTCGAGGCCTAGGTGCTGTCCCTTGGCTGTTTTGCTTAAAACCAGCACTCTACCACTTGAGATATAGCTCTACTCCTGTTCACTGGAGATAAGAATCTTGCAAATTTTCCCAGGCTAGCTTTGAACCTCCATCCTCAGATCTCAGCCTCTTGAGTAGCTAAGATTACAGATTTGAGTCACAAAGTGCCTCCCCATATTTTATTTTATTAATGCAAAAATACAAAAAGTCACAAAATAATAAGACTTCTACAAAAGATTACAGAGAAATACCTTCTACTTGTACTCATCATGAACCTGAAAACTTAGTTTTGAATGTTTTCAGTAGCTGTAATTATAAATTTAGCAACTTTTCAGTATATATGTTTTTTGGTTTCTCTTTTTTGAAGTTTCATTTCTACTCAGACTTCCTCCTACCTATCCCGCCTCTAATACCCATGTATGTTTCAGCTCAACATATGATCCTTCCTACTTCTGCCTTCATTGTTAGCCCTCAAGTCTGAATAGTAGCAGAAAATTAGATTAATTCCTTGTTCCCAGGAGGCCTAGATCTTCTAGTTATCTTCAAACTGCAAAGTTCAATCTTTGAACAAAACTTTGACATGTTCTGGTTGTATTAAGTATCCTTCTTTACTATAGCTATACTATATACATAGATTATATATTAAATATACAATCATACTATGTAAAAATATAGGTGACATATTGTGATTCTTCTATTTCTTATCTTCATGATTAGGTAAGGAAATGACTGTCCTTATTCTCATCTCTCCAATCTTCTCCCCCCTCTGTCTCTCTCTACCTCTTGCTAAGTTATTGTGTCTCCAATATGAGAAGCACTCCTCTTAATTTTCCTTTGCTCCCACTCTTCCTCCACATCCTAGCTTTTATTGCCTCCCAAGCAGTTATTCCAAGCCCGCTTTCGATATCTATTCTGAAAGTGGAAACCTTCCAGTTCCAGGTCCTAACTACGTCTTCCTTACCTTCCACAGGCCACATGTGTATTACCATATGCACACCTGTCACAAGCCCTTTCTCCAGGTTTGCGTGCTGAAGGAGTCCAAAGGACTCTTATTTACCTTGAGAAGCATAAATTGGATTCTGCCACAGATTTATTTGAAGAAACAGGTCATTTCTTATATCAAAGGGACATTAGCTATTATGATGACAGAAAGTACAAGTGTAAAAATATTTTAATTAAATATGGTAGATGTTTAGAGCTAAGAGAAAATACTAATTATGGAGAGATCATGCCAATTTTTCTACTCTCAGAAGAGATTTTAGAGAATTTCCACCTTTCTTGACTTTCTTGAAAAAGCTTTCCTCCCCCCCCCTTGTTGCCTGCAGAACATGACATTCGTGTGTACACTTAGTCAACCAGAAATGCTAAATACCCATTCTGAGCTACACTGACCAGTGATGGCAAAGCTGACTGTCCAGTTCAACTTAAGGGCACAGAAATTACTGTAATGGTTGGTAGACTATGGGGACCGAAAGAGAAATTTCAAGTGTAGTAGACACTGAACTGTGTGGTAGAGGGATTCCATCTTGACTATATTTGTCATTTCCCTTAAGCAACAGAAGCTTCATGCTAGGTGCCAATTTTGTACCCAGGTCATAATAATGAATGGTCTCCTCATCTCTGGTGAAGCTGACTGTTGTGTTTTGGGGAGTATAGGTTGTGCAGTGATGTCTAAGTGGTTCCGATTTACAGATGTTGACTAGGGCTAGTTGCGTAATACCCTGTTTTATTTCTAATCTCTGTTCTGCTACCTTGAAGTTCTGCTAGAGTATCAGAGTATCTCTTGGAGAGGATGGAAGATAAACTCCTAAATAGATGGTGTTTGGAATAGACAGTGTTATCCTATCTGAAAGGATCACTCAAGACAGGATTGAAGACCCTTTGAAACCTGTGATCTTTAATTATCTTGAGTTTGATCATAAAAAAAAAACACACAAAAAAAACCCTATGTACAAACTAGGCACCAGTGCCTCTTACCTGTAATCCTAGATACCCGGAAAGCTGAGCTCTGAGATGATCCTGGTCCAACGCAAGCCCAGGGGTAGGATTGGTATTTATTGACTCTTATTAGTTTTGCATCATACTGCTATACTCTTAAGAGGCTCAGGAATAAAGCACGCAGGAGTCTTCATGGAAAAGAAAGAATTGTGCAGTTATTTTGGACTTTTTATACATAGCAGGGGTGAGTGACAGTGGGCAGTAGCATATGTCTATATAGATGTCTCTATAGATGTTGGTCATTATTAGCAAATGGACTTACTTTCTTTTCTTTATTGTCAAGATGATGTATAGAGGGTTTAGAGTTACATAAGTAAGGTAATAAGTACATTTCTTGTCAAACTTGTTACCTCTCTCCCCCTTTTTCTCCTACTCTCCCTCCCAGTTGTACAGATCATGCCCAACATATTGTCTTGTGTATATCGCTGTTACATTAGTTCACCCCTGTTCCTTTGTCTCACCATTCTGTTGTTCCCCTTCCCTTCCCTAATTCAAATAAATGTATATGTGCTACTAGAGTACAAAAATCAAATACAGTGACAACAGGGGATAGTTACTTTGTTCCTGTCCTTGCCTATTGGTGTTAAAGCAAAGAAGGCAGGAAATAAAGCTGAGAGGGAATATAAAAATGCATAGGTTTGTCCAGGATGTGATGGAGGAGTAAGGCATTTCATAGCTGGAGTTATTATTAAGGTATTGATTTACTGGTTTCTTGGGATGGGGCACCTGGCTTTTGGCTGAACTAAAAGTTGTTCCTTGGAGGCTTAGAGCATCGCAAGTCTGAGGCCAGGCTGTTTCCCAGCATGTTCTTAAAGAGAACTGAGACTACATTGCACAGCATCTGCCCCAAATCTCCCACAACCCCCTTCACCAGAAACTTGATGGAGAGGAAAGATGGGGTGGTGTTTTTTCTTCCTCCACCCTTCCCTAGGCTACTGTTTCTATGAGCCTACTTTTAGAACAGCCTTACTG